TTCAAATATATGACAATATATTTGGAAATAATATTTTAAAAATATATTTCAAATATATTTTCTTCCAAGTGGGATATAACATTATTTTGTGTTTGTATTAACAAAATTATATATACAGTAAATATTTTGTACTCACCAGTTTGGTATGTCTTTTCTGTGATAAGTGATGACATTTAAATCCCTATATTTTTTTTTAAACTATGCTTGAAATATTTGTTTCTCAAGTGTGTTTTTTATTTGGTTAAAAATAATAGACTTTGCATTTTGAAAAGGTCTCCTTTTAGGTATTCATAAACAGGGTAACCTGATCCAGCCATTTTTGCCTCTTTGGTTGACAATCACATGTCAGTGGTTAACTTGTGTTCTTAGCCACTACCTGGGGGAACAGTAAAAAGGTTAGAAAACATTTTTTTTATCACCATCTCCTGAACAGCGCAGAGCAGTGGCTCTTACTTTTGCCCTTTTTTTTTCTCTTCCACTCTCCTTTCACTTAAAGGGTATTTACACTTTTGCAGCCATGTTTGAGAAATCCCCACTATGTTTGTTTTGTGTTCCCATTCACACAGCATACCTAAAAACAGTTAAACAAAATTCTAAACTTTAGATGTTTCTAAGGAGAACGTATCACGTTATGGTCGATCTCACAGTGTCTTTTTTTCCACACAGACTGAACTATACCTCATTAACATGCAAAGCAGAAGTGTGTTTTTTATTTTTTTACCCTTTATTAGGACAGACAAGGGGAATTTACTAAAACTGGAGCATGCAAAACCTTGTGCATCTCTGCATAGAAACCAATCAGCTTCCAGGTTTTATTGTTAAAGGTTAATTGAACAAACTGAAGTTAGAAGCTAAATAGAAATTGGTGCAGCGCTTAAAAAAATTAAATAAATTCAAAACCGTGTCGCCACACAATGTAAATGTCAAACATATGAAATGACAAAGACGTAAATATTGCACAATGATATGTCCCAAAGAAGGGAGCTAAACCAAGTAATAGTCCCAAAATGTGATGTGATTAAATAAAGAACGGATAATAGTGACTTCTGTGACATCTGTGTTATTCCTCCACCATTATGCACTCACCAGAAGCAAGTAGCAAACCAGCATAGAATGGACTGACACTTTAGGGCAAATCTGTAAAATTCCCAACTCCAGTCAGCGGTCTATCCAAGGGTGGGATCCCTCTAAAGTGGGAACTCATAAACAGAGCCTGGAGACAGCGTATTATAGTGTGGTATATTTATTAAAAATTAGCAACAACATGGAGCTGGTTTGCTACTTGCTTCTGGTGAGTGCATAATGGTGGAGGAATAACATAGAAGTCACTATTATCCATTCTTTATTTGATCACATCACATTTTGGGAATATTACTTGGTTTAGCTCCCAATCTTTTGGATATATCATTGTGCAATATTTACATCTTTGTCATTTCATATGTTTGACATTTATATTGTGTGGCAACGCGGTTTTGTATTTATATAATTTTTTTCAAGTGCTGCACCAATTTCTATTTGTCTGTTTAAGTGGGAGTGGAGGGTTTGCCACATTGTTCCGTTATTATTGTCTGTCTTTGCGCTCACCATTTACACTTTTTCACTATGAAGTTAGAAGCTGACTAACTACCATGCACAACTGCACCAGATTCTAAGGGCTCCAGTGTTAGTAAATCTCTTCCACAGTGTTCTTATTTTGTTTACAGCTGAAAATGGAGAATTACGAACACAGTTACTGGATTAAGGTAAATGTTACTCCACAGCCCCCCTCGTAAACATTACAAAGAAGGGAGAGCATTTAAGGATTTTGAAGCAAGTAAAAATCACTTAATGTAACCAGCAATGTTTATTTTTTATGTTATGCTATGTTAATAGGAACATGCAACAAATATAAAATAGGTATAGAGAAAACTATCTATGTCTAATGGTCATATATAGAGAGGAAAGTGAACATGTTTTGGTATTCTATGTGATTGTTTACAAATGAAGGAAGGTTTATCTATCAATGTCCCTGTATATCTTTTAAAGCATACAATTTTGGTTCCTTATAAAGTTATACATGCAAGTGGTGGATATGAATATTTTATACAGAGATTTTAGGTTTACTTTCAATGATAAGGTTAGGGATTTGATATCTGAAAGTATGTGGTCAATTTATGATCAACTCAAGACATGCCATTTGAATCATTATAGGTTCTTATACAGTTTATCAAGACAGGCACACTCAGCTTGGAGGTATTCCCAGTGCATTTCCAGAATATGAAGGTAGAATTCTATTTCCCAAGTTTCCTGTAAACAGCTTAGAATTAGAATACCCAGGAAAAGCATTTCCTTGTGACTAATATTGCATTATAATTATATTGATGATGTTTCAAATCATTATTATGGTCAAACCTTTTTTTTTTTTTTATTAAAATAACTAACACTTTTTTTATACTCACCTGCTCTGTGCAGCGGTATTGCACAAAGTGGCATTGATCCTCCTCTTCTCAGGTCCCCCAGCAGCAATTGTGGCTCCTCCTCTTGCTATGGAGGCACACAGTGTCTGCAGGCTCCCGAGCTGCGTGCATATTGAGCCACGCTCCATAGACTTACACAGTGGGACATAGCCCCACCCTCCACTTTCTCCTCACTGCATTTGATTGACAGCAGGAGCCAATGGCTCGAGTCCTGTGTATAGAGGAAGAGATAGGAGAATAGATGCAGCTATGCACAGCACTGGATCTTTTCTCCCCTCCCTTCCCCCCTCACACAGGGAAGGGGGGGAGCAGAGGAATAGAAAACTTTTTTTTACCCTAATGCAAGGAATGCATTGAGGTTAAAAAATTTTTTTTAGCTTTAGTATCACTTTAACACCACCTTTATTCAAAATGACCCTGTTGTTTAGAAAAATAGATGGTTTTCTGCTGTACTTACTTGCCAGTGGGATCATGATTCAGCTGTATAGTTTTGCATGAATCAGTGTAAATGGGATAGCAATAACATTAGTGTCATTATATCAGCATGGTTTAACATCTCTACCAAATAATAATAATATGCTTCAGATTAAACTTAATTTGTCATAAACAAGCTAGTATGAGCTGTGTGTGATTGGCTGTGATGTGAGTACCTCCATTTTACCCCAATGAATAATCACTTGTAATAGTTTGCAGACTCAACATTCCAAAAATGGATACCTTCCAAACATATTTAATTAAAAAAAGTGTCTTGACAAAAGAACTCAAGCTTTGCAAAAGTAAAATTTACAACATTTGTAAGATTATATTATTCTATATCTTAATGAAAACGTAGTGACTATGAAAGGGTTGGATGAGCCTATTAATGTTCTGTATAAACCTCTGCTGCTTTTGATTCTTGATCCTCCTATTTTAAATAAAAACACTGTTCACAGATAATGCAGTATTGATCCGTTTCAGTAATGCAGTTTGCATTAAAAAGATAACAGCACTTTACCTTAGGAGCTGAATCATAATTTAAAGAATTCAGGTAAATGTAATTCAAACCTATGCTTTTTGTTTTTTGGTTTTAAGTTATTTTTAAAGGCATGACAAAAAAATTTAATTTTTACCACTAATTTTGTTCAAAATAATTGCATATGTTCAGGAAGAGATGTCAACATCTGGAATAGCTGGGATTCCCTAAGCTATTACTTTATTGAAAGGTAACTCCAACTAGACTGTGGTTTCTGGATGAGCTGGAAGAAGTCCCCAAAAAAGGTATATATATATATATATATATATATATATATATATATATAAATATATATATATATATATATATGTTACTGTACTTTGACATGTAGGTTTAAACTTGTTTCCAGCTCCCAGAATGGTAGTGCAGTGTAGTGTTTACTTTTTCCTGTGGCTATATTTTGCTACTGCCATTACCTCAAGTTTTTTTTCAAGTTATTAATAAAGTGGTCAGGAGACACAACTTCTGTTGTTTTTATTACTGTCTCTGCACTCTTTGGCCTGATTTCCTGTCCTGAGAACACAAAGTCAAGAAGTAAGAGGTTATAAGTGTCAGCTGGACAGAAAGGCATAAAAAGCAATAAAACTTGACAGACATTCTAACCTTCCCCCTGTACAAAACTTAAAAAAAATCTGACTAGAGTTTTGAAGTGAAGCATTCTTGACTGAGCTTATGTATGAATCTGAATATTATGATTTTACTATGAATTACATGATATTCTTACTGGGTTAGCATAACAGCTAGACAACTACCATTTTTAAAAGCAGGTCAGCAACATAAGACCATGCATTTCTGCTATGATTTCATTTGTGATGAACTAATTCCAAAATCTGCTCAATTTATATAGGTACAACTGACCAAGGAGGATTATGTTCAATGGATCAAACAGGTGTCAAACAACAAATATTTGTTGTTTTGACACCTGTTTGATCCAATGAACATTATCCTCCATGATCGGTTGTGCCTATATTAGCTGTGCAGTAAGAGCGTGTGGCCATGCCCCCGAAGATGTCATCTGTGATGAAACCGGTAGGGCTGAGCCTGACACATGTTAATGCATTGTGCAAGGGAACAGTCCATAGGGTTCAATATTGAGTTGGCCCATGCTCTGCAGCTATACCAGCTTCAACTCTTCTGGGAAAGCTGTCCACAAGGTTTAGGAGTGTGTCTATGGAAATGTTTGACCATTCTTCCAGAAGTGCATTTGTGAGATCAGGCACTGGTGTCGGACCAGAAGGCCTGGCTAGCAGTTTTCTTTCTAATTCATCCCAAAGGTGTTCTATCGGGTTAAGGTCAGGACTCTGTGCAGGCCAGTGAAGTTCCTTCACCCAAACTCACTCATCCATGTCTTTATGGACCTTGCTTTGTGCACTGGTGAGCAGCCATGTTTAAACAAGAAGGGGCCATCCCCAAACTGTTCCACCAGTTCCTCTTGGTATGCTTACACCTTAAGAGTTCCCTTCACTGGAACTAAGGGTCCAAGCCCAACCCCTGAAAAACAAGTCCACACCATAATCTCCTCTCCACCAAACTTTCACTTGGCACAGTGCAGTCAGGCAAGTACCATTCTCCTGGCAACTGCCAAACCCAGACACGTCCATTGGATTTCCAGACAGAGAAGCGTGACTCATCACTCCAGAGAACACATCTCCACTGCTCTAGAGTCCAGTGGCGGTATGATTTACACCACTGCATACAATGCTTTGCATGGCATTTGGTGATGTAAGGCTTGGATGCAGCTGCTTGACTATGGAAACCCATTCCATGAAGCTCTCTACTCACTGTTGTTGTGGTAGTCTAAAGGTCACATGGAATTTGGAGGTCTTTAGCTATTGACTCTGCAGACAGTTGGTGACTTGTGCGACTGTGTGCTTCACCATGTGCTGACCCCGTTCTGTCATTTTACATGGCCTACCACTTCATGGCTAAGTTGCTGTTATTCCCAGTTGCCTATTTAGTTGAATATTTAGTAGCAAGGAAATTTCACGGATGGACTTATTGCACACATGGCAGCCTATCACAGTACCATGCTTGCATTCACTGAGCTCCTGAGAAAGACTCATTCTTTTACAAATGTTTGTAGAAGCAGTCTGCATGCCTAGGTGCTTGATGTTATACACCTGTGACCATGGAGGTGATTGGAACACCTGAATCCAATGATTTGGAGAGGTATCCCAATACCTTTGGCAATATAGTGTATATCAGCAGGAGAGAAGACACCTCTCTACAAAAATATGTATCCTACAAGTCAATAGTATACATCACACCAGTCCCCTAACAAGCACGACTATGTTGCAAGGGGGTAATTGAAATCAAGATTTTCATACAGGAGATAGAGCAGTAATATGTACTAAATAGACATATGAAGAAAATAATGCAATTCAATCCACCACTGTATGCAGGGAAGCCACACAGCCACCCCACACCTTGTCAAATGGATGGGTGTACCCCTCTATTAGCATATGTAGCCTTATATACCTCAGGTTTTTTCCAAGACAATATGATATGTTTCCTTGCATAATAAAATAAAAGGGTAAGGAGAGTACGTATGGCCTTTGTGGAAGCTAAATCATCCACTAAACTCAAGTGACAGTGCCTTATGGATGACCTGAGCACACTGGAGCACTTCAGTCCAGTACAGATGGATAGCCAGACAGTCCCAAAAGACATCCATAAAATTTGCCCCAATGGCCAAGCAATGCCAGCAACAGGATGAGTTGTTACTAAACATTTTAAGTAGCCTAGCAGATAAATATGGTGAACAAATTTATAATGTATGAGGTAATCTTGAGCAGAGACAAGCCTAACAAAGGGGGCATCCCAAATGTTTTCCCAGTCTTCAGTACTGAAGGCAGGAACTACTGATTCCCAGCAAGATCTACACTGGGTGAGTATGTTATGTGTTGCAGGGAAAGGGAACTTATATAGAATAGACAGTGGTTTGGTCAGTTCCTCATCCCGCAGCATGGTTTCTAAATCAGAGGAGGCAAGGGAGGCTCGAGGGCTCCCAAACTGTGATTGATATGCATGCCTAAGTTGTAAGTACCTAAAAAGCTGGGTATTTGGGAGAAGGCAAAGATCCTTCAACTCATCAAAAGCCCCAAAGGCCCTGTTGTGTACTATATCACTAAGCTTTTTAATCCCATAGCATGTCTACACAATCAGATCCTCATAATTAAATAAATGAGTGAAAGTGGTTCCCCAACCTCACCCCCATGCACCATCGCCCAGGCCCACAGAACTGATCTCATAGATATGGCTTGCATGAGGGGCTCTATAACCCTCAAGGACCAAGTGTGTTAAAGCCTTATAAGATCCTACTGTGACCGCCTCCCGGGCAACATCTGCATCATCAAAGGGTCCAGTTAGCCGTCTTTGCACAAACACTAACTGCCCAGCTAGAAAACATTTAGGGTTGTTGCAAAACTGTCAGTTTAAGCCTAGAGAGACATCCCTGCCAGAGAAATCCAGAAATCAGGATATGTAAAGAATGAAAGATGGACTTAGGGATCCACCTAGGTGAATTATGTATGATATAAACCAAAACAGAAAGGAATTTCATTTTAATCAGACACATTTTTCCTATCAAGAGAGGGATATTTCTCCAGGCATTATTCTTGTGTTTAAGAAGGGTGACAGGCAGGAACATTACAGGGTCATCCAAGAAAAGCACTACATCATCAGCATTTAAAGCTGTTTTTTTTTCAACAAAACTGCCCACCCAGATGCCATATACTAAGGAGGACATGACCAAAGCAAATAGGCTCCATCAGCAGGACAAAAAGCCCCGGTAATAAGGGGCAAACATGTCTTGTGCTCCTGCTAACAGGGAAACATTTTGAGACCTTACTGCCTGATTTAATGGCAGCTACCAGATGATACATAAAGTAAGCCAATTTACCTAAGAACTACCTCACCAAAACCCATATGGACCAGGACCTGCCTCATGTACCCCCAATCCACAGAATAAAATGCTTTTTCAAGGTCAAGAAAAACCAGAGTGTGTTTATCAAGACCTTTGGGATGCAACTCAGTGTGGGCAAAATCCCTTTTTAAATTAACATCAGTTGTCTTATGTGGTATAAAGCCAGTTTGATCAGAGAACACCAAGAAATGCAACACTTTGGATAGTCTGGTGGTTAGAATTTTTGTTAGGATTTTAAAATTCGTATTTAAAAGTGCAATAGGCTTATAAGAGGCACGCTGCTAGGGATTCTTATCGGCTTGGCTAGCAAAACTACATGGGCTTCAAAAGAGGACTGAGGCAGAGAGTTAGTGCACAAACAGTCCTCATATAAGCCTAGCAATCTAGGAGACAAATTCTCTGTATAATGCCTATACCACTCAAGCAGAAGCCCAGCAGGGGGCGATTTAAAGACTTTAATTATGCCTCATTTTGAAAAGTACCCAAAACAGCCACCTTTATAAAAAAACCAAAAAACAGTATATTGGTTTTGATGAAAAAAAAATATTGTATGAAGTATATGGCACAGTCTTTAACCGCTTCCTGCCTGGCCTATTCTCAATCAACACCCGAGCGGGAGCTTCCGAGTTTCAGAAAGATGTCATATGATGTCCTCCCTGTCATGTGCCCTGCACAAGCCCTAGCGGCCATGCTGCTGGGCAATCTGTCCATGGAACACAGCAGATGACAGATCGGTATACCAGGCCAGTCCCAGTACTATGTGACTGCTATGACCAGTCACAGCAGTCACATGACATTTGTACATATTAAACGGCTTTCATTCATAGCCATTCTTTGTGTACTTTTGTGATGAGCTCTGTGATTGGTCACAGTGATCACATGGTACAGTCAGGGTAAATCACAGCCCACCTGTACCATTTTATTAGCTGTGGCCAATCATAGCTAACCACAATGCTACTCAATGAATTGCTGTGAATGAATAGATGTGACTCATAAAAAATGGTTGTTTCCAACAGTGATCTTCACTGTTATAAGCAATTATAGTGTAAAAAAAACCAACTTGATCTCATCCCCAGAGTAATAGTGTCAGTATGGTAACACAATACTGCTCTGATCACGTATGTAAAAAAAAAGTAAAAAAAATTACTAAAAAAAGAAAAATATATATATTTTTTTTAACATGCTGTCACCAGTCAGTGTTCCTGATCGCTGTCATACCAGTTATATAATGAATTTCTTCATTTTCCAAAAAATTGTGACAAAAAATACAACTTCATAAAACTCGCCATGCATCTTACTAAGTACCTTGGAGTGTCTACTTTCCAAAAAGGGTCATTTGGGGGGTCTTTGTATTGTCCTGACATTTTAGAGCGTCAAGAAGTGAGAGGCTGTTGGTACATCAGGACTGATCAATTTTCATATATATTTATATATATATATATATATATATATATAGAATGAGAGAGAGAGAGAGAGAATATATACTGTAAATATATATATATATATATATATATATATATATAAATAAAATTTGTAGACTCTATAACGTTCACACAGACTAAATATTAAATATTATTAAATATTTGTTTATATACCCCCCCCCCCCCCCCCCCCAAGAAAAAAAAACAGTGGTAATTAAATACCATCAAAAGAAAGTTGTGTCTATCTCAAAAAAATAAAAAGATGTCATTTGGGTACAATGTTACATGACTGAGTAATTGGCATTTATAGTGTGACAGCAATGAAAGCTGAAAATTGAGTTCGGCAGGAGAGGGGGTGAAAGTGTCAGGTTTGAAGTGGTTAGCCAGATTTATCAACAGGAAATGCACCAAACAGCTTCTAATAAGGAAACCCTAGATAATAGTGTGTTAGTTTCACTGTAAAATGAACCCAAAACAGTGTATTTCCTGCATGCACAGTATTTAATAACTTATACTAGGCTCTCTATTGAACAGAACCCCCATCAGTCATTTTAAAATCTGGAAATCAACAGAGTGTATTTATTTTGCAGAAAAAAATCCCAACATATTCTAAAACCTGCATTTGCAGTATTTAATCAATTTTATTTTTAATCAGGACCCCCAAAAGCTTTTTTCTGATAAAGAAATCAACATTACAGTGTAAAATATTTCCAGAACAATCCCCCAAAATATTTTTGCACCCAATATTTAATCATTTGTACTACTCCCTCTTTTAAAGCAGGATCCTTATTATCAATCTAGACATCAACATAAGAGTGTAATATATTCACAAAAAAAAGTCAACGAAAATATGTGTGTGCCCTTGTGTCCACTATTTAGTCATTTTTAGCAGGTCTTTTTAAATGTAAAAAATACAAATTGTTGTTTATTTTTTTTTTTAGCTCAAAAAATCACCCAAAAGACTGTAGTTTCTTTGTGCAAGTATGCAATCATTTGTGGCAGGTCCCATTTTGAATAGGACCCCCAGTAAAAAAATGAAGAAATCAACATTACATCACATGCTATTTAAGCAGATGTTTTAGTTCTTATGTCACAGTTAGAGTGACCAGGTGTTATTTATACTAAAATGAAAATTTATCGTACTGTACTAACTATGGCCAGTGGTCTAGACTGGACACTCAATAGTCCAAGGGGTCCCCTACTCACTTCAAAACAGGTGAATCATACAGTTTAGGAACTTTTTTTTTTTTTTTTTTGCCAATGCAGAACTTTCATGATCCCTACTAGCTGCTTGTACATTACTGCCTTGTACATACACTGTATTGAATCAGTTGTAGGAAGTCCCAATTTTAAAAATTATTGTAAAATCTAGAAAACAGTAGTGGAGTGTCATTAATTCTCAGAAAAAAAACCCCCACAAATATAATTGTTTGCTTGTGTGTATAAAACTATATTATCAGACCACCAAGAGCCGTTTCTATTCTAGAAATAAACATTGCAGTGTAATTTATTCTCAGAAATAAACTTGACAAATATTGTTCTTAGTATGTTCCAAGACTTTTTTTGGCACTGAAGTCCCAATATTGATAGGTCCAGTTTTAGAGTTTTCATTTAATTTGTTGTGAATTAACAACCAATCTTTTTAATATTATTTCACTTTAGTCAGATACATATTGCAAATTTTTCATTTGATTCAGTTATGGTTACTTAGGCTCTGCAAGGGTACATGTTTTATAAGTTGCAGTTTAAATAGTTA